CGGGGGAGGAGGGACCCGAGCCACGGAGGACGCGTCGTGCTCCCCGACGGAAGAGACGCCGCGCGTTCGCCGCGTCCGGCAGGACACACGAGCCTATTCGCCCTCCTCCCTCGGGCGCGCCGCGCCTGTCTCGCTGCCTCCTGCGAAGCATCCCGCTTCCCCCCCGGGGGTGGGGGGGGGGGGGCCTGGCAGACACAACCACCGGGAGGGCGGGGGGCGGACCAAGCCGGCGCCGGCACCGGCAGCCCCCGCGCAGGGGTGCCGAGCCGTCTCCGTTGCCAAGAGGGCGCCGCGCGGCTCCGGGACGTGCCCCACCCGATGCCAAGCGTGCCTGAACGCCGGAAGCCGACGTCCACCGGGCGGGGCCACCCGCCGGCGCGTATTTCCTTCCCTCTCGGTCTGCTGGCCCTGCGGAGCCGGACCGCGGCCGGCCGGGCCCTTCCGCGCCCAGTGCCAGGTGACATAAGTGGCGCAGCCCGGGCGGGTGCGCGGACCTCGGAGCGGGGGAGCCCCTCCCGAGCCCCGGGGCCGACCGCCGCATTCGCCGGGCGGATGAAAAGAGCTGGGCAAGGGGCAGCGCGCCGCCGCCGCCGCCGCCGCCGCCGCCGTTCCGCCCTGCCGGGGAAAGGGCCACCTGAGCTTGCCCCTGGGTTGGAGCATGCCGCTGGCTCTCGCTTGGGGAGGCGGGGGGGGGGGGCATGTTTGGGGGACTTCTTTTCCAGCGGCGTGGGGACGGCAGCGGGGCATGTGCATCCGTGCATCTCATATGTCCTGCGGCCCCGGTGATGTCGTTGCTGCCGTCGCCGCCGTTTCTGCCGCTGGCACCGCGGGGCGGAGGCCAGGGCGGGCCGCCTGCATTGCAACACGGGGGGTTGTCCGCCCGCCGCCGCCGCCGCCGCCGCCGCCGCCGCCGCCGCCGCCGCCGCCGGTGAGCCAGCCGCACGCCGCCTGGCCAGGGGGGCGGGGGGGGGGGGGGGGCAGAAAAAAACAGGGCTCGCGGCGACCAGATTTGGGCGGCCAGTTGCGCGCGTACCGGCCCATCCGCGCGCAGGCAACACGCCTGGTGCGGATCGCCGCCCGGGGTTCGCCCGAACACCCGGCCAGGACCGGGCCGCGCCCGGCACACACAGGGCACTTTCACGCAGGGCCCCCGTTTTCCGCCGACGGTCGTCCGTCTCCGGGGGGCCCCGGGGGACGGTTGAGCCGTTCCTCGCCTTGCCGGCCGCCCATGTGCCGGCGCGCCCACACCCGGCCCCCCCCCCCCCCCCGGCCGGCGCACGAGCCGACAGGACAATGGGGCAGGGCCAGGCCACGCGACCGGGGCGCGACGCGAGGGCGCTGCCCAACGCACAGGCGGCACACCCCATCCGGCCGCCGGGCTCCCGTCGCGTCAAGGGAGGCCTAGGCCGCGGCGGGCGCGGCCCGGCCGACGGCGCGGGCGAGCCAGGGCGTGCGCACATCCATGTCCGCATGTCCGTCCGCATGTCGGCCTTGCATGTCCGCCGGTGTCTGTGTGTGTGTGTGTGCGCATGTGTCCGGAGGCGCGCGCACGCGCGCGCGTGTCTTCCCGCGCCCACGGCCACCGCGTTCGCCGACACAAACACCACCGCCGAAAGGGGAGCGACCGATGGCTCGCCCGTGCGCGCGCGCGCGCGCGCGCGTGCCCTCACCCCGGGCCCGGCCAGGCGATTCCGGCCCGGGCGAGCAGCGGGCCCATATTCTTTGAAATAATACTGGCCATTATATTTACCCGCTTTTCCGTGCACATGCACGCATTCGCAAGTGCTATTGTGCATATTCTTCGGGTGTTTCGTCCGGTCTTCTCCACTGGCGAGAGGGGGCCGGCCGGCTGCGCGAACAGCGCCCCTCCCCGGACGCACACTCCCTTCGTACTGGCTTTTTTTGGGGGGGGGGGGGTCCCGCCCCGTGCCCACAGCCCGTCTGTCTGTCTCCGCCCCCCGCCAGCCCCTCCAAGGCCCCTCCTCTTCGAGCGATCTCTCCCCCCCGGGCCGCCGTGCCCGCGCCGGCGCCCCCGTTCCCCCCCGCCCCGCCCGCGGACGCCAGTCTCAAAATGGATGCCTGCTCAGAGGGAGGGGGGGGGGGGAGCGGGGGCTTCTTCCATGCACGGGGTTTCCCGGAAGGGTCCGCGCCACGAAGGGGTTCCGGCGCGCCGGCCCGTGTGCATCCTGCAGTGATTGCAAGTCCCGCACGGCGCGGGGAGACCCACGACCGGCGGCGGGACCCGCACGGACGCCCGCCCTCCCCCCCTCCCCTGCCCCGCCCGGGTGCGGGATACAATCCGTCGGCAGGGCACGCCGCGCGTCGCCCATCGCACGTCTGCGCGCCCCGGACAAACGCACTCGTCTGCGCACGCGCGCACGCGCGCCGGCGCCCCGCAGCCCCGCATGGCCGCGCTTGTGGTGAGACCGGATTGGCCGCCCGGCTGCGGCAAAGCATCCCCCGGTGCAAAATACCCGCCGGGGGGGGGGGGGGGCACCGGTCAGTCGCTCCCTCTACCGCACCCTTCCGCTCGGCCGCGCGTCCTCCGGCCGGGTGGTCGGCCGGCTGGGTGGCGAACCCCTGTTCCCACACTGCTTCGTCCCCCATGGGTGCGGCCTCCCGGCCGCCGGGCGCAGAAAAGGTGC